CCTCACCGCATCAAAAACGCGTACAGCACACCATCACATACCCCCCCATCCCTTCCAACTACGCACTCGGCCTTTTTCCCTTTTTTTTCCCGGTCCCCTTCTTTCCCTTTCGCAAAGCCATACCCTGCATATCCCGCATTCCGCCGCCTCGCCCGTTGAACCAGCCGCCGCCCACCCCCGCGCCAACACCAACCACCAACCTCACTGCATTCCCCCCTCCCCCACCGCCTCTTTCCAATCAAACAAAGATCGTCGCTTCATCACGTGCATGTTAGCGCTTGATTCTCACTCTAGAGCCAACTAATTCCCCGTCGCCGCCGCTGAAGACAAAAAAAAAAAACTCCTCCGCGGTTCACCTACAATGAAGTAAAATCCCGCCTACTAGTTGCAAAGTAGTAACCTTGCCAATCGCGCGTATAGAAAACGTAGGAGCACAAAGTACAACTAGACGTAGGCGCCCCCTCCCCGCCCCTCGACACCGCTAGGTGTTGGACAAGAAAGCAGGCTTGGCATGTGTGTGTGCACGGGATAGGCCCGCGAAAAGGAATGCATGGGAATCATGGCGGTAATATGTATCCGGCGGTTTTTTTGTCAAGTACACACCTACTAAGAATGTTTCTGTGAGATCTGGGACTAGTGACATAGCAGTCATTTACGTGGGGGAGGGGGAAGCTCGAAAGGTAGTAAAGTAAGGCTTAGTATTTGGATGTATGTAAGCACCACCACCACCCGTCGTCGACATTTTATTTCCGTCTGTGTGTAAAGTTGCTGTACTACGTATAAGACACGCATATTATGAACCACCCATGATCACGCAAACAATGTTTTGCAAGTGTTATTACTATTGAACTAAGTGACAGAAACTCAATTTGAAGCTTCAAAAAACGCCCTAAACTATGCTTACTCCCTTAAACCTTGCTCGGGCCGTCCGTCGAGGGAGGGAGGGAGTAATGGAAGGGGAGGGGGGAATAAAAACACAAATACACTTATGCAAACCAAAGGAAACCCGCTAAAAGAACCCATTTTCACACGCCGGGGGGAAGAGAGAGAGAGGGAAAGAGGGAAACACAGAATAACTCCATCCAAAAGACCCACCCGCTAAACCACTGTAATTGACGGCCCAATGCACACACCCCCTCGATTCATGCCGACCGTTGACGCCTTGTGCGAGCTGCTGCTGATGCTGCTGCAAGACCCGATCGCCAGCTCCGCCTCGCCGCGCTCGACTCAGCAGCAGGCTGCGCACCGTCGTCTTCAGAGGAGCAAACAGGCGGTGGAGCACCTCCACTTGCACACGTGGGAGCGCCACTGGGCGATCGCCCCGTCTGCGGTTGTGCGCCCTCAGACTGCGAACAGCGGTGCAAGACGTGCAGCAAAGCCATTTGCTGGCCACGTCCAGGGTCGGCAATACCTCTAGCCCTCGACATGATTTCTCGACTGAGATGACTCTCGCCCCATGCAAATCCGCCAGTATCGCTCCGCCGGTTTCTTCTCGCCTCGCGGAAAACGTCTCTGCTCCTCCTCAAGTGATTCCGTCCTGTGCATGAAACAAAAAAAAGAGTGTCAGCTGATACTGATAAAACACAAACTGCTCATTCGAACAACTATTGTGGAGATCCAAACAGACCCCTTCGTATCCGGTCACTGATGCCACCATTGCCCGAGCCTGCATCTCCGTTATTAGACGAGTTACCCTGGTTGGAGGATTGTGGACCTGGGGATGCTGCAGGCTCATCGTGGGGGTCAGTCGACGTGCCCAAACCCACAGTGAACGCACCAGGCATCTGGGATGTAGGATCATCGTGAGTGCCCGATGGAGCAGGGTTGCCAGACTGGTCCTGACCACCCTTGGTAATGCCCTTTCGGCAATGCGGGCAGGTATCGTGCTCTAGCAGCCACGCGGATATGCACGGGTGATGGAACCAATGCTTGCACGGCAACATAGTCACCTGTTCGCCAATATTGACTTCGTCCATGCATATGCTGCATTCAGCCTTGTGCTCCTCGCCTAGCATCTCCTCGGTAACTTCTTTCCGGGGTAGGGCGTCGATATCAGCCTGAGTAGCGGGACCGGGTGCATTGCTGGTTGCCGTCTGTTCCATGAGCTGAGAGACGATGCGGTCGAGGCCTTCTTGTGAATACACAAAGTCTCCCATGTTGCCAGCCCCAGGAACCATCATGCCCATTGCAGAGAACAAGTTGAGAATGGGGTTGCCCATGACCCGTTCTCCAGGGCCATGAGTGTGCTCTCCACTAAAAGAGCCCTGGGCTCCGCCTTGAGGAAAGCCATGGGCGTGAACGTGGCCAGGAGGTGCACCAAACGCGGCAAAGAGTCCCGTCATAACGCTATCCACCTTGTTAGCAATTGCTTGCACCGTTATGCGTCAGTAAGTTTGCTTACTTTGTTAGCTCGTCCACAGGCTCGGCCCGCCCAGCGCCGTTTCCGCCGGGAGGAAAGAGACGAACTCCACCGTGATATGTGAATCTTCCTCCCCGGATCTGAGGGCCTCCTTCTGTGCCTTCGTTCTGTGATTCGTGGAAGGCAGATTGGTTCTGATTGGTCCCTGGGCCAGAAAAGAGGCCCTCACCCTGGCCTTGCCCCGGAGTCTGTTGCTGGCCCTGCGGCCGTAGGCCGGCGCCAGTCAAGCCGTTTAGCATGGCCATGAAGCCGCCTATGGATCCTGGCGGCATGCCCCCATGGGGAGACACGGATCTGGTGACAGTTGCTTGTAGATTGTAGCGTCCGGGGGCAGTCTGTACGAATCGAATATTGCTAATGTCGTCCTCCTCTGGATCGTCATTCTGCGACGAATTATGGTGCGGATTGCGAGCTTGGCCTTGTCCAAAACCAGGTATGGAGTCAGAGTCGTCGCCGTCGTGTCCAAACATGTTACTGTCTCGGGGGTCATTGTTCTCTTCAATCTGGTCCGGATTAGCAAAAGTCGACTCATCTCCGCTTCATCTCGTCTGGTGAGCTGGAAGCTGGGTCTGACGGCCTCAACTCACGATCTCTGTGAAGTCTGAGCCGCATTCTGGGCAGGACAGACCATGTTCATCCCGGTACCATTCATCGGCGCACTCGTGACAAAACATCATGTCGCGGTGGCCGGGCCGCTGGGTGTGTGATTGCGCATTCTCACCACTTGACTGGTCCATGATAGCGTGCGTGTCGCGTAGGGTAATATATAGGGTGATAGGGCGTAGTCGAGAGTTTGGTGCAAGTAATCCAGCCAGGAAGCAACGCTCTAGTAGCGGAAAGGCACAAACGTCGATCGGAAGCTACCGCCCAAGTCAATCAATTCGAAGCCCTGTCATGCGCCGTCGGCAGTTATGCTGTCCAAGTGGGGACGCCCTGCAGATGCAGATGGGTACAGGGTATGACTGTGTAGTCCAGAAGCGCTGAATAGGTTGTGGATTGGCAGAGAAGAAATGTCAAGAAGAAGCGTGCGGCGAGATTTGGCGATTTGGTGCGGACAATGTCAGATGGAGATGACGTTGCTATCGGGGCAGGGATCCAACAAATGTCCCCCCGCGGGCGTCTGGGACGATCGGAACTCGTCTAACGGGCGTTTGAGGAAAACCGGATTTGAATGGGCGTAGTCGAAAAGTAAGAGGAAGCTCGGGTCGACTGGCGTGATTTTGTTCACAATGCGATTGATTGTCTGGCTGTGACTCTGCGGTACGTTTGTTCCATTGACTGTCCCTCGGCTTCTTTTGTGTTCCATTGGCTTCCAGCTTTGTCCACCCGTTGAAGCAGTCACATTCAGACGAGGCAGCAGACGCAGACATGTGCCAATATTCGTCCGTGGTCACAAAATGCGAATTACAGGGTTTTTGTAGTATTTACAAGTATTCAAATGCCGTGTTGTTTGACCATCTTGGCCAGAGGTATAGAGCCCACCAACGCCTTTCCAAGTGTTTGTATCGTCAACGCGTACGAATGCCCAACTTTTTGCCGCTTCTCCATCTTGATCTGGACGGGGAAACGCTCATGGTCATCCTTTCACGATCTGCGCGGGCCACCCCTTAGTAGCAAACTCCCCACCACGCCCGCAGCAACAACAATTCCTCCCACAATCGCAGCGCCTACAAGCCCTTCCTTCGCAACCTTCTCGTCGATGAGACTCTTCAAGCTCCCAGCCTGCAGGTTCGCAGGCTCCAGCTCCAGCAAGAGCTCGTTGTATCGTCGGGCCTCAGCGTAATTGCCGAGCTTGTAGTTGCCCAGAGCGAGGTAGTAGAGGCATTCGCGCCGACGCTCGCGCGAGTTGCGAAAGATCTCAGAAAGCAAGCGCACGCCCTCTTGTTGGTCGGGACGAGAGGTTGACTTGATCAAGCCCTAAAATATCATGAGCTCGGTTGTCGCATATGGCGTTGCGCACATGTGGAGGTACAGCCGTTAGAGCGGGGAAGTCGTACCCATGCGTAGTTGAACTTTGTCTGCAGCCCAACATATTCGCCCTCTTTCTCGTACTGTGCGCGAAGGACTTGCAGCTCTTCAGGCTTAAGGGGCGACTCTACGTCGGCAGCATCTAAGGGGAATGAGCGTTCGTCGGCCCAGAAGTCGTTATCCCACTCACACGGTAATGACGGCGGCATGGCGACAGCTGGCGTTGTGGGAAACCCAGGGTAAAAAATGCGTCTTCCAAAAGACCTATGTAGGTAGGTATCGTAGGGTTACTTGGTAGAGGTTTTCGGCGTCAGGAAGCGGGCGGTCTCGTGAAAGCTTCAGGTGCCTAAGCCGAGCAGGCGATCTTTTACCGTGACGTACGCCTCGGATCCTGCAAACGCCACAAATGCGCCACACCTGCGTCTCACGCCACAGTCACAGGCTCCGTTGCCATGCACGCGCTGCTAGCACGGGCCATGCAAACAAGAACATCAACACCACGCCTCCCTCGCTATACACATGACCACCAGTCTGCCACGCCACAACCAAGCACACGTTTTATCCAACTCAGATACCCACGTGTTTGTCACGCGATTCACGTACACTTCTCAAAATGCTTCTCGACGAAGACCCTGCTGCTGTAAGGAACGTCCCGTCTATGCGACTGGCGCACAGCGACTAACACACCAGCAGCTCATTGCGCAATGCACCTCGCACTTCAAAATTGGCAATGACAAAACCTCGCTTCACCGCATCAACGAATCCCTTAGTACTCTGAGCGAGTTTCGCACACAGCACCTGCGCTCCATCCAGTCCTCTCTAAGCGCGCTGAACCGCACTCACCAAACACTCTCCGCAAACCACAATCACACCCTATCACAGCACAATCCGACCAACCATGCAGCAGAGATCCTAAGGCTGGACACTGAGAAGTTTAAGATTGCGAAGCAAGCCAGTGATTTGGAAATTGAGGGCGAGAGGCTACAAAGTGACCTGGCAAGGCTGGGTAATGTAGCCAGCGAGCTAGAAGAGGAGGGTGTCGAAGGGGGTGTCGAGCCCAAGGCAGGTGAAGATGCTACTGTGTAAGCTGAAACCCTTTTCAAGTGGCAAGATCAATGCTAACAGGCATTTCAGACTAAAACTAAAACTCTACCGTACCCTCGGCATTGATGTCGAGGCTGACCCGACTACCGGCGAGTACAACAAGGCTGTCATTCGCAATGCAGCCAAGGGAGACGTACATGTTGTCAATATTGACCCCAAGTTTTCGCGCCACTTTTACACCAACTACTTCTGGCGGACACTTTGAGTTGGCGCGAGAGTCTTTGTATTCGCACTGGCCGTATATCGTGGTTTAGGTGCTAGCGTCGAGGTCTAGGGCATGGCGTTTATTCACGACTTGATTATGAGATACCTATTTGTTTATGGCGTTGGGCTTCTCTTAGATCAATAGCACACTTCACATGTTGTGTCTCATGAGCGGATATAACGTCAGAGTAGATAATCGTGTAGTACACAATTCCACATCATATAAGAAGGGAGCATGATTGATAGTGATGAGCATGACTTTTGTCCGCAGCGAGCATTTGTGAGGTAAAAAATCCTTTTAGTGAAGGATATAAGCCTACTCGAGAAATCATCTTGTGGTGACGACGCAACACTGAAAAAGAAACATCCTCGATCATTCCTGGATATACTTACTCCACTCATGACCTATCGTATGTAATTCCAGAATGCTGCTATCCAACAACACCAATAATAGATAGCTATTGGAGTAAGATTGTATAGAGATTCTCTTAACTCTGACAAACTATACGGCTAATGTACAGCATACTCAAGCAACATTGATAGGTTGTTGAGAAGGGATCCATTGTGACTTATGCTAGAGACTGGTGATAACTTCGCTCGGAGACGGTAATGAAGTTTTCGATCTGCTGAATGAGCGGGTCAAAAGACAGAGTGCGCACCATATACTGCGGATGCTCGCAGTGATCCGAGTGCGGTATGGCTGCTGTTACTTTGGAGCTCTGCCGCCAGTTGATATATAATACGGCAACAGCTGCTGCTAGCACCGCTGAAGCAACGCCCAACCAGAGTCGAGGCTGCCCTTCTTTGCTTGTCCTTTTCCACTCCATTCTTGGATTCCAAATGGCCTTTTTTCCTTTTTCTGAAGGATCTGTGTAGTGAAATAATTAGGCAGTGAAGTTTACAATGATAAGACGCAAGGCCCAGTTGCTGATGGGGATGATGATAGATGTGGTAGCTCACAGGACCAAGATGTCTAGATAGGTAATGAATGACTGCTGACCGGCCAATCTCGACGAGTTGGAATCGTGCAGATCCATCCTCTAGCCGAAAATATAGTGGTAAATGGGTCTCCAAATTCGGGGTCGTTTCTCAATTTTCTCTACAGAAGATAAACTATTACACACACCAATTAGCCAATAGTCCTAGTCAGCCGAGCTTAAACTCCTAACGATAGGAGAACTTCATACAACGACTATCCTTAACACTAGATAACAGACGATCCAGTGGAATAGTCAGAAGACCTCTAACCCTAAATCTAACCCAGTATAGCACGTATGCGTTTCCACTATTGTTGAATCCCCATGTAATCCGAGTACATGCTCCGACATTCTCGCGCCCAACGCCAAAACCTTGAACCCTATCGCATCCATGGCCGCTATTAGGATCGTTGCCTCGTAGACACTGTATTGTTAATGTTATTAGAGAATGTATGAGCTCTTACTTAAGCAAAAGTTACCGATATTAACGCTCTGATCGCAGCATAAAGCGATGGCATTACAAAGTCCTTGGCAAAGCGCCATTACTGTGATACCTGTGAAGAGAGCCTGCTTCATCTTGCGTGCGTAGGTGTAAAGCTTTTTAGAGATAGAATAATATAGTAGAGATAAGGATGGATGGGATGGATTGGAGGATTCTATCATGTTAGTACCAGCACCAAACACTGCTTTATATTCTAGTGATTCGGAGTATCATCGGCCTGCTCGCTGTAAAGAAATTTAGTATTTCTAAATTAACGTAGCTGTTCTACGAGATGCCTGTAGCTTCTCACTAAGCATGTCCGGAAGATCCATCACTTGCCTAGGATAGTAATCTACGACTGTGGACCGCAGCTTGTGTCTGAGCTGTGGAGCCGCCTGTTCTGACACCTAGGGTGCGAAGCTAGGAGGAAATTGCGACCGCGTACACTACTTAGACTACTGTAATGTGGTATACAGCACAAGTTTCGTGCAGTAGAACCGCTGAAATAGCAATTCGACTCTTCCTCGGATTGTCTAATGTCGACAATATAACGATTACAGTATTACATCTAATTTATATAGTGTAGCTCTTCATTCTGCCTTGGCCTGAATTATCCTCTTGCTAGTGCTTACGCACATGAATTCCGCTATATAATACAGCATGTTTATAGTGTAAGGGGCTGCGTCCTAGGGAGCAAACGCTGGGTATACGAGAGGTTACATTCGATACGACGCAACACTGAACAAGAATCATTCTTAATCATTCCTCTTTCGTTGCAATAAAAGAATGATTGATGGTCACTGAAACTTGAACTATTTCTAGGGTCACATGGTACTTGTCCAGGCCTGAGGCTCGCAATGCCGTCGTCGAGACGACACCATGTGAGGCCGTTTTTAGAAAAACATGTCAAGGCTGAGAACTTGTGCTTGCTCTCTTAATATCAGGAAAAAAGCTAGTTGTGATTATCGGTAGTAGGTGATTGCTCTGTCCCACTCCACACCTATTCCTCACATCCCTTTTCGAAAAGTATTCTTGTGTTGAAAAGATTCCATCTACTAGGCTTATCTCCACTCCTTTACCTCCAATCTCTATTCTATGCTTTAGAGCTTCTCCTTTTAATCGTCTACGGAATTCGAGTTGAACTCAGTTGTTTTGGCGTTTGACCTACGGATTATCGGGCTCGGGGGTACGGTTATCCCTAGGGTCTATACCGATATAAGTTATTGAATAGCGCTTCTCATTATAGTCGTCCACGGGGTATTGGCCGGACTCAGTCGTCTCGTGTCGAACTTGGGCGGTTACAGCTTTCCCGTTTATCCGTGCAGCAAAAGCGATGCTGGCTATTGCTATAAGTATAACTGCAACCTTCGTGAAATGCATTTCGAAAGTACGTTGAATTTCTTGATTGAAAAGAATAGTTGTAGAAGTTTTTGAAGTCAGATACTTGCATGTGGGAACTGGAGTGATGATTTAAAACTAATCCATTCTACTCACCCTTTGTATATTGCAGCCGGTAGGTTGATCATCCGAAGTTGGATTTGGTTGATTCACGCGAACTTGTTGTCTTTACCGTTACTCGGGCCGTTTTAAGCCCTACAGCTCCAGAGATACACCGATAGCGTCTGTACACAAGTCTTAGTTACGAAGTAAAAAACGGTACAGATAGCTCTCCAAGGCTTAGTCATCTACACTTACAGACTCAAAAGGTTCGATATATGCGTTAGGTCTTTGCAGATAGAGTTTAGCGGCCTACGAAGTAGGTCCAAAACTCTACTCTACGACCATTAACTACCTTTTTCGAGGCGAAGAAATATTACAAAACAAAACAAGGCATGAATAAGAACTAGAGTTTTAACAGCTAACAACGTTTAACTCCATGTAACGCAGGAAAAAGGCCACGATACGCGGCAGACGATGCGATTAGCCCTGTTCGGTTTCTGGTTTTCTGCATCGGTTTTGTTGTCCTAGTCGGTTGAGAGCTTCGATAAGGAGTGCTAACTATTCTCGTAGCCGAGATTTTTTGGGGTTCTAATAGGATACAGAGGAGCTATTTGGTTAGATCTATATTTCATGATGACGATGATGATGATGTGATAAGCTAGGGCTATGAGAAATCACCGGATTTAGTGGAGTCATATCACAAATCGCAGTTTTAAGGAGCGTATCTCAAAATGCAACCTGCATCTCGTTTAGTCAAAACTCACAACGCACAACCGAACAGGCCCCTACTGCGGAACATAATAGCCATCTCTACTTCCATTTCCCGCACGGAACGTAGATTTGGTTTAGCGTACGGAAAAAAAGGATCTGAATCTCACAGGATATTTTAGCGGAGGTTTATTTACCGCTAAGCAACAGGCATAACCTTCCAGGACGAGATGCTCGAGTTGGAATGAGCAGCTGACGCCAGATCAATCGGAGAACTTTACTTGAACGAAGGATCAACACAACAATTCAAGCCTTCGTCTCCAATGTGACCGCGATACTTTCCAAGTGTCGTAGCTAATCTTTACCAAGGCCAATAAGTAGAAAAGGCACCATTTGCAACGGCCCGAATCGGGAATCTCCCAACGCCTTGCATCTTGTAGTTTTTTGTGTTTAAAATCGGTAGTGCTACAAAAGAGGGCTTGTGGCAAGTCAACTCAACCTCCTGTTCGATAAACGATCTTCAAAATAGTCGAGATGGAAGAGACGCGGTTGCGTACAAGTTGCTCTTGTGAGAGAGTGACTAAATGATATCTCTGTCCGACGATAGACTGGATCATTGCCCGAAATCCCGCTTCCCCTCGCTTCTGCTTGCTCTGAATCTCTTATTAAATATGCTTCTTATCGTCACTATTGTGACATGATTCATTTTCTTTGGGAGAAAATTCGATTTATTCAATATCTGCACGGGGGCCGGGGCGTTAGATCCGTTCAAAAGACTCCCGTTGGTGCTTTTGTCTGTTACTTTCATTCTTCTGGTGACAATAATTACTCTACATTGCCAAACGCCAACCCTATGCTATCCTTTCCCAAACCCAGCCCACAAAAACGCCATGCTCAACGCAAAAAAAGAATCATGTATATACACCTCACCCCATTTCCCACACCAATCTTCCCAACAAACTATCTAACTGCTCCCCAAAATCCTCTCATACGCCTCCTCCACCTCCCTGGCCACCTCAAGCAATGTCACAATAACAATCTGATGCGTAACATTCGGCAACCGGTCCCTATGCAACCCGATCCACTCCAGCGGAGGCGTCGCCTCACCCATATCCCTCAATTGCGGCGTCTCGATCAACGGCGGCTCTAGGGGCGTATATTCGTATTTAGACTGCGGTACGTTAACCACGGCTGTGATCTTTTCTTGGTTTTCAGATGATGTGGAGGTGGCACGGGGACGGCCTGAGGGTATGGCTGTTTTGTCTGCGGTAGAGGCGCCAGAGCCGGGGTTATCAGAGGCGTCCTGAAGGGTCTGCGAGGTGCTGATTTTGATGTTTGATTCTGGGAGGGGTTTGCCGAGGCGCGAGGCGAGGGTTCGAGAGTGGTTGGACCACATGGTGCGGATGTAGGAGATGCGGGAGTAGTTCCAGCCGACATCGACTTTGCCTTCGAGGGAGCTGCGGAAGAGATAGTCGATATGTGTGCTTTTGGGAACTTGCCAGGTATGCATTGTTGCGATGACTTTAGGGACCCGGAGGATGGTGCCGCCGCGGGCGGAACTGACGCTTGTAGAGACGTCTTCGACGTCGAGTTCAGTGACGGGCTTGCTTTTCTTGGGTGTTGGC